AGTAAGAGTACCGATAACGTGCCCGGCATGTCATTCCATTGTGGACCGAATAATTAGGGGTTGTTATTTAAATTAAATGAATTGTTGTTTTTACATATTTTATTTTACCCAATCTGGCTGCTTCCATAATTTATGTACTAGTGGAACCCCGTCGAAATCGACGGTTAATCTTGAGGTTTATGTAAAATCAGCTAACTGCGATGGATAGAGTGAAGTCATTAAAATCTTAGTTAAATGAAGGGAGGATAAGCAATAATAAGTATGGCGATTGTGTTCCCTAAAAAACGTAATTGAAGAATTCATTTAACACAATATTTCCTGCCTTTTTATTGGCTTTAGGTTGCCCAAAAGGTTTTTTAGGAGTCTTACAATTGTTTGTTCATGAGTTTGTTTCATGCCAAAGCCACTTTCATTATATGGGAGAATGAGTTTATATAATTAGTCTATCATGTTACGGAAAGAGTCAATATTTATTACTAACCACTAATTCCATCTGCTTTAGGAAAATCATTCAGATTGTATCCGGATTTATAAGTAAATATTCACCTTTGGCCATAAAAATACAGAATTCTATCAGCATATTAAATCAGATTTCTCATGTGTAATAATTTATTTATCTTAGGAAGGTGGCTAAGGGATGAATGCGTCCTAAAAATAGCCTACTATTATGGAGGGCCCACCACGAAAAAAAGTTTTCTTTTAATTAAAAAAGTTTGCTTATTGACACTGGGAACATTGGGTCACTTATTCTTGCCCCATAAGGAAGCCAATGGGCCCCATTTTTAGGTAAATCTTCTTCTAATTAAATAGCAAATACTTATCATTCTATTTTCACTCACAATTTAATAACTCTTTATAGGTGTATTTAATCTTTTACCTAACCCGCCATGTTAAACTTCCCTATCCCAAGCGTGATGTATACAACTTCCTTACTTCTCGAGTGATGTAAAGTATCAAAAACTCACTCGGTGATGTAATGAAACCCATTTAAATAACATTGAGTGATTAACTTAAAAAATATACCTCTATGGAGCCAACGACGTTCAACGCTAGAAATCAGCTGTGCTCTTGAATTTTATTGTTATGTTTTGAAGAATTTTCCTAACCTAGCTTTTGTTTGTAAATTAACGTTACTGTTAGAAGATGAGTGAAATGGTTAATGATTAATATTGTTCGTTCGTAACCTCCTGTATATTGTCGGGTCAGGTAAAATCTTGTACGTTACACGTTACGCAAGAGCGTGTTTACATCACTTAGGTAAATTATGCAACTCGCTTCAGCTCGTTGCACAACCTTCACCTGCGTGATGTAAAAACGCTCTTACTACACTTGTAAGGTAAATAGCTATTACCCATGATTGAAGGGGTATACTGTACGACATAATAAGTGGGCCTACAACGTATGAAATCACTTTATAATGCAATGTAATCATTTTCGAATTAAATAATGCCAGACACTTGTAAGGTAAATAGCTATTACCCATGATTGAAGGGGTATACTGTACGACATAATAAGTGGGCCTACAACGTATGAAATCACTTTGTAATGCAATGTAATCATTTTCGAATTAAATAATGCCAGAGAGGAGATAGGATTATCAAAAAACTAGCTGAAGCCGGCAGACGTTGTCTTGCCTTTGGCTATTTATATAATTTAAGTATCGAGTAATAAAAATCCAAACTAATTCCAGGAATATTACAAAAATGTGTACGTTATCTTATATATTAAGACGTAACAGAGTTTTTTTTTATTTCACGATTCTGCATCAACCACTTGACGGATTTTTATCATTTTTGCGTTGAAAGAAAGATTTGAAAGAAGCCAATTTTGGGAACTAGGGAATGTCGAAGCCACTATTTTAGTTTAGGGTTTCAGTTTTTTTAATTTTAAAAAGTCCAGCAGCCGACGCTAACATTCTACTCTAGGTTTTGGTATAATACAATTTGCTTAACGTAACAGCTGTAAACAATCAGCGTTTTCGGCACAAGTTCAGCATTTGGATGAAAATGAAATGACATACGTAGGGTTGACTTTCTATACTATGTGTAATGCTTTAATAATTGATAGGTTTATTTATTCGGTTTGAGGACGAGATATAATTTAAATATACAAAGTAAAATTAAAATAATAGATGTTCTAATTTATTATTTTAACAGTCTATAAAATCTTTAGTTTGTTTTATATAATTTGTTATAACTAACAGCTGGTTGAATATACAAATATTCTAAGAACTATGAGGTTAGTTTATTTACTCTGTGATTTTGGATTATAGAAATTAAGTAAGATTCTATAACCATTGCTTTATACGAATCGAAGCTCGCGAGACTTCAAAAGAAAGCTTATGAAAATTGTTTTACCACCCGAATTTTTGACAACAGGTTGGGAAAGTAACGACGACCAGAAGTTTTAATTAATCTTGGTAGCTTTTTCTTTACAATAAACTTTGAACTGCTTAAACTAAGCTTGAATTAGGAATAGACATATTGATATAACTATATACAATTTTAATGGACTGCTCGATTCCCAACAGGAATCCCTGTAGGACGGGCCAACAGCTCGTTTTAAAATAAAACGATTTATTCCCGAAACATACCATTAATTTACATGGCATGTTTTAAATTATACTTCATCTATATATTTTGTAAGAAAAACAAATCTATTTAAAAATCATAAAATTTAAAATTCCTGCCGGACCGATTTTGTTACTTAATCGTTGGAAAGCCTAATTCGTGTAGATTTGCAAATAGTTATGAAAGTGTGATTTTATTACTTTTTGAGTAGAAAAAATGAAAATAAACAATAATAATACATTTAAAACGCCTTTTTCCAAGTTTATATTTGTAGCCAACTTTAGACTGTCTTTATTGAGTATTTTCAGGAAATTTTATTCTCTATCAAGAATATCACCGTCCACTTTGGTCGATTTCCTCACCATTTAAAAGTTACTCTATTTTCAAAAACCTTAAGCAACCTCCCCATTTATAGTGGTGAGAAAATACTGAATGAAAGATGTTGTTAAACTTTGTACAATTAAATCTACAGTTCTACTGAACCGATTTTATTAATTAATAGGTCATTGGTAAACCTAATTTGTGTAGATTTGCAAATAATTATGAAAGTTTGATTTTTTAAAGATTGCCTAGATGAAACCCGTCAAAGTCGACAGTTACTGTTGATGTCGCAAGCAAGATCGTTTGACTATAAATCGATGATAAATGACTCTATTTTTTGAACAATTTGTGTTGTTCGTGATTTAGCTGTGTCCTTTAGGTACGTCCGATCTTAATAATCAATAAATCAAAAGGAAGCTGGTATTTCACTGAAGGTTCTTAGGTCAAAACAAATAGAATAACGTAATTTGAATTGAGTAAAAATATCACAAACTAAATTCCACATCCAAGATATAATCAAATTTATGTTTTCTGATTGAGCGATACAGTATTTTGAAGTTAACTGATTAAAAACAGTGCTTTAGGTACGATTATTAAGATCGGAATATTAATAATTAAAAGCTCAAATGAAAGCTGGTATTACTATCACTATATATTATATATTATTATATATACTATATATATATATATATATTATATCACTAAAGGTTTTTAGACCAAAACATATAGGGTAATTTAGTTAGAGCTGCTGAAATACATCTTTAATTGAAGTAAAAAAAAATTAAATTTTTTCGTTGGGTAATACATTAGAAAAATTAATGATTATGTTTGATCACAAATATTTGCTTGCATAACTTTATTTTAAGACCAAAATTAAGAAAATGGATTGAGCAGAAGAGCCAAACGAACTTGAAAAAAACTAATTTAACTCCCATTAGAAATGTACAGGGACACATTTTGTGCATAACTCGAAATATACGTAAATAAAAATGAATGCCGATTCTTGATTGCAAATCTGTAGTGCGTCCATACCTTTAGTTTGAGGCCAAAATTGTGAAAATCGGTCGAGTAGAAGAGCTAACCCGACTCGGGAAAACAAACCCCAAATATTATTATAGATGGCCATAGGTGGTTTATCAGTATGCATAATCTAATCATACGAAACCTTTTGTGTTAATAACTAAACGGCTTATTGTTATTTGATTGATTTGTCTTTAATTAAATGTTGTCGTTAACAATTTGCATTTGTGTTTAAAGTAAATTATCATTCTAATGTTATGTGCTTAATCTGTACCATTAATATTAGTAAGTAAAGTGGTGTATGGATTTTAAAACCATTAATAATCGTGGAATAGATATGATAATTAAATAATTATTTTTCGTAGCCAAGCAAGTGTACGGTAATTTGTACAGTTACTACCTACTTTACAGAAAACGGTCTCTTAGTCAGCCCGCAATACAGCAGTGTTTTGGTAAAGTTTCCTAGATTTTGCAGGCGTAGTTACGAGTGAAGTAGTCTCAGTTGTCCGCCGCACCGTTTGGTTAGGTCGGCCAAACCAAACTGTGCGACTCAGAGGCAAGTGGGAGGGATTGTTGGTCTCATACTCCGCCGGCCGCAGACCTTGCGGAAACTAGCGCGGGGGAGATTGACCGCGGTGGACCTAGGTATGACTCCGGTCTCATGCTCCGCCGGCCGCAGACCTTGCGGAAACTAGCGCGGGGGAGATTGACCGCGGTGGACCTAGGTATGACTCCGCGGCAAAGTATAAACCGTGCGGCAAAGTATAAACCGTACGGCAAAGTATAAATATGCAGCAATTAGCAGCTTTCTGTACTATAAACAGTACAAGGAAGCCAACTTTGTCGGGTGACTGTAGGAAAAATAAATGATTTCTTTGTGACTGTTGATGACTGAAGACTGAAGATGATATTGTGAAAAACAGAAATAAATCCGGACGAGCCCCCTTTCTTCTTTCTTCAATAACAAGTTTCAGGTTTCGGTTTCAGTGTTACTTTCTTCAGTCCGGTCAGTCGTTCAAACTAAACTTCTCTTCAGTCACTGAACGACAGTCGACAGTGGCTGTGTTAGTGTGTTGTGGATGTGTTTTGTTGTTGTTGTGTTGTGGTGTGTCAAGTCAAGAAAGAATCAAGATGGTCAACGTCAACGTCAAGTCTACTGAAGAAGCTGACTGCTGAAGTCGTTGTCGAGTCGATGGTTCTTGGTTCTCGTCGCTCGAAACCTACCGAAGTCAATATTTTTTTTGTCAGTGCGAGTGCACAATTTTACTAGGCTGCAAGTAATATTTTTATTTTTAAGAAACGATCGGTAATTGAATCGTGTGAAATTGATACATTTTCAACTTCAAAAACAATTTAGTTAGCCTACTTAACTTTCTTATGATATTAGGCCTACCAATCAAGCAAGAGGACTGTTTTCCTTGTAACATTTCATCATTTTTATTTTCTCATTTTATGCTTATGCTTCATCTGGCCTAATTTTTAAGAGCTGTTACCTACATACGAACCTGAAAGTAGAACTTGTTGCCTTCTCCTGATCAAGAGCTGAGAAAAGATTAAATAATCTTTTGTAAATTTTATCAAATAATGACCTGTCCAGATATAAAGGATTTGTTTAGTAAAACCAGGTAGGCCTAAGTTATGCTAAGTTAGTACTAAGGTAATTATAAAGGGCTTTACTTGTATTTGACTTTATTGTTGGTATGGGCCTAAGCTTAAGCTTATTTCTAATTTAGGGCTGCACTTTACTTTAGGTCCTACACTCATTCGAATGAAAATATCGATCGATATATCGATTAATTGATTGTTTCATTCGATAGGCCTATATCGTTGGGTTAGTTAGGTAAGGTTAGGGTACAGTTTCTTAACTGGGCTATGCTAATATCGATTGAAACTATCTAATTGAAAATATTGATTAATAATCTATATTTTAAAATATATCTAGGCCTATTATAAAATTTAACCATCATAACCTAGCCTAACCAACCAAACTTGCTGATGGTGAAAAAATCGTATGAAAGTTTACTAATCGAATTGATAGTTTCAATCAATATTAGCATAGCCCAGTTAAGAAACTGTACCCTAAGGTTAACACGTTCGCTGCGGGCCATCAAACAGCAGGCGTAGCCCCAGTGCGGCGCAGCCCGCAGCGTCGAACAAACCCGATTGCCGGGTGATTGGCTCTCATATTTCGGTATGACGAATAGCAAATAACGTGCGGTGATGTCCTGTTTTATAACAAGAGTCGACGTAGTTCGCTAAACACTCACATATAGCAGCACTGCTTGGAACGTAGCCGGTCCCATCGTATTAACAATTGGAGGGAGAAAGACGGGACAAAAAGTTGATTTTTAAGTTTGCCAGACGGGGATTTTATGGGGAAATTTTACTACCAACCTACAACACAACAAAAAGCAAGTCACCCACTACACGCTAACGTGGAAACATTCTGCAAAGGGTCGTAAACAAACGCACGTGGCGCGCTCGCCCACCCCCATCCCGCCCCCCCTACTGATAACGCGACAAAAATAGAAACCAAGGTCACCACGGTCATTCAACTGTGTCAACGCAGGTGGCTACAAAGTATTAGTTCGAAATATCAAACGGCTGAGCCACAGGAAAATATTGAAGTTCAGGAGGACCCAAGTATCCATATGGATACCGCCGCCTCTACGTGATGGACTCCAGGTATCCATATGGATACCGCCGCACCCAATGTGTTAACCTAACCTAACTAACCAAACGATATATCGAATGAAACAATCGAATAATCAATATTTTTATTCGAATGAGTGTAGGACCTAAAGTAAAGTGCAGCCCTAATTTAGTCCCGGACCAGATAAGTTAACTTATAGGCCTAACTAGGCTAAATTTATATTAAGACTCTTGATAAGTTGGACATTTTCATGTTGTAAGTTAGCCTAGGCCTAGGCTTAACTTAAAATCAACAACCAATGTCACAACAGACATATCACCCATCCCATGAAGTTAAGGAACCAATAATTCCTACCTGAGACTAAGTTTGGGCCTAGGTTAACCCTAGGTTTAATTAAACTAGGCTAGGTTAATCAGGTATCAGTTCATCAAAGAACCGGCAAATATTTACTGTATTTACATTGGGATATGTTTGTAATTTTTATATGTCTACTTACAGTATTTTTAATGCTGAATCCAAAAATGCAATCAGTTTTTGTCGGAGGGATTCCTAAGTTGCCGTAGTGGCCGTAAAACGATGGTTAGGATTACGAATATAAGGATAATCGAGCGGTATTGAAGGTAATGGTAATATGGCGTGGTCTGGACTGGACGGGTCCGTACTGAGTGAGGAGTGAGCAGGACTGAGTGAGAAGAGCAAACAACTGTTTATGCTTGATCTAATGCGGAATAAAATAAAATCAATTCCTTTTGATTTTTGAAACCAAATAATCAGTTCTTATTTAGGCATGTGAGGAAGGTAGGTAGGGTTTTATGCGGATTCGTGACTGTATTTTTTTAAAGTGTTTTATTTAGATTGGCGTGAACCTGGCAATAACTCCAGCCATAAGTAGTGCGCGCGCCCAAAAAAATCTATTGCTGGCCGTTTTGCGTCAAAATACGTCCGCGATCCATATTACCAATAATGCCAACAGATAGAGGACACTTTAACGAACACGACAGTATCAACGTTATGTACCTGGGGAGTAGAATAAGGGGGGTAAAACCAGCATTAAGTTGTGCGCGCGCCCGCTAAAATCTATTGCAGGCCGTTTTGTGGCAAAATACGTCCGCGATCCATATTACCGATGATGCCAACAGATAGAGGACACTTTAACGGACACGACAGTATATCAACATTATGTACCTGGGGAGTAGAATAAGGGGGGTAAAACCAGCACAAAGTTGTGCGCGCGCCCGCTAAAATCGATTGCCGGCCGTTTTGCGGCAAAATACGTCCGCAATCCATATTACCAATAAGGCCAACAGATAGAGGACACTTTAACGGACACGACAGTATTAACATTATGTACCTGGGGAGTAGAATAAGGGGGGTAAAACCAGCAATAAGTTGTGCGCGCGCCTGCTAAAATCTATTGCTGGCAGTTTTGCGGCAAAATACGTCTGCGATCCATATTACCAATGATGCCAACAGATAGAGGACACTTTAATGGACACCACAGTATCAACATTATGTACCTGGTGAGTAGGTTAAGGGGGGTAAAATCAGCAATAAGTTGTGCGCGCGCCCCGAAAAAATCTATGGCTGGCCATTTTTTGGAAAAATTCGGCCGTGTAGGTTATTACCGAGAGTGTCACAGGGTGTGCACATTCTGGAAAGTCAGGAATAGTCATGGAAAGTCATGGAAAAGAATTTTGGTCATTGAAAGTCAGGGAAATAGGCAAGAAGTCATGGAAAGTCATGGAAATTTCCAATTATGGATGGATTTGAGGGGACCATTCAATGCTCTAGTCAGCCGTAACCCGGACTGTTGTGTAGCATTTTTCAGGATTTTTCACAAATGTTCGACAATTCAATTTATTACAGTTGTATTATTTTATGAGTTTTCGGTTTCTTTTAGTTCATTGTTGTACCTATTGTACTCCATTGTTATCTGGTATTACATATTTCAGATTTTCTGCAAAATAACATGTCCAGGCAGTATTATTTGTGGGTGTATGTTATATTATAATTTGCGTGTAAAGTTTGTGAGTCATGGAAATCAATGGTAAATAGTCATGGATAGTCATGGAAAGTCATGGAAATTAATGACAAATTTTTTGTGGACACTGTGTGTCAGCTGATAGAGGACACATTGACGGACACGACAGTATTAATATCATGTACCTGGAGGGTAAGTTAGGGGGGGTAAAGTCAGCAATAAGTCGATAAAATCTATTGCTGGCCGTTTAGCAGAAAAATACGACCGCGTAGGTTATTACCGAGGGTGTCACCAGATACTTTTACTATTAGGTACTACTTGTATTTGTTGTTTTATGTAGATTTTACTGGCCGCGCGCACAACCTATTGCTGATTTTACCCCCCTTATTCTACGCCCCAGGTACATAATGTTGATACTGTCGTGCCCGTTAAAGTGTCCTCTATCTGGTACTTTGTATTTTTCTAGTTTAGGCTCAATTTTGACAATGCACCAGCTGTTCTATATGTTATCACATCTAAAAGAATGTTATGTGCAAATAATTAATGTCTAAAGTCTAATGTCTGTTGGCCTTATTGGTAATATGGATCGCGGACGTATTTTGCCGCAAAACGACCGGCAATAGATTTTAGCGGGCGCATGCACAACTTATTGCTGATTTTACCCCCCTTATTCTACTCCCCGGGTACATAATGTTGATACTGTCGTGTCCGTTAAAGTGTCCTCTATCTGTTGGCATTATCGGTAATATGGAACGCGGACGTATTTTTCCGCAAAACGACTGGCAATAGATTTTCTCGGGCGCGCGCACAACTTATTGCTGGTTTTACCCCCCTTATTCTACTCCCCGGGTACATAATGTTGATACTGTCGTGTCCGTTAAAGTGTCCTCTATCTGTTGGCATCATCGGTAATATGGATCGCGGGCGTATTTTGCCACAAAACGACCAGCAATAGATTTTAGCGGGCGCGCGCACAAGTTATTGCTGATTTTACCCCCCTTATTCTACTCCCCGGGTACATAATGTTGATACTGTCGTGTCCGTTAAAGTGTCCTCTATCTGTTGGCATTATTGGTAATATGGATCACGGACGTATTTTGCCGCAAAACGGCCGGCAATAGATTTTTTCGGGCGCGCACAACTTATTGCTGATTTTACCCACCTTATTCTACTCACCGGGTACATAATAGAAATCGAGAAAACCTGGCCACAAGCTCACATACTCTGCAACTTTTTACGAAGACACCTAAATATGCCGGTTCCAAATTTTATAATAAACTTCCTAAAGAAATCAAATTAGAAACTTCCAAAAATAAATTTAAATCAAAATTGAAAAAGTTTCTTATCAACAAGGCTATGTACTCCTTTGAAGAGTTTTAGTTCTTTAAGTTATTAATTGCTCTGTTTCATATCAATTGAAACTTTTGGTTTTAAAATAATTTTATCTATATTTTTAATTTTGATATTTTCATGTATAAACTTTCATATTGCACTGCTTGTTTTAATTTATTTGATCTGAAAAGCTATTAATATTGATGGTATGTTATTATGCCATGCATGATAATGATGAGTATTTTAGTTAGTTAGTTTTATTAAATTACTCTTGACGCCATTCCTGTATCTATGTATTGTACTTTAATGAATAAAGTTATATGAAATGAAATGAAATGAAATGAAATAATGTTGATACCGTCGTGCCCGTTAAAGTGTCCTCTATCTGTTGGCATTATTGGTAATATGGATCGCGGACCTATTTTGCTGCAAAACGGCCGGCAATAGATTTTTACGGGCGCGCGCACAACTAATTGCTGATTTTACCCCCCTTATTCTACTTCCCGGGTACATAATGTTGATACTGTCGTGTCCGTTAAAGTGTTCTCTATCTGTTGGCATTATTGGTAATATGGATCGCGGACGTATTTTGCCGCAAAACGGCCGGCAATAGATTTTCTCGGGCGCGCGCACAACTAATTGATGATTTTATCCCCCTT